TATGTGTAGAGTGTATATATATATATATATATATAATGCGAAATAAAATATAATATCAAGAGCCATGAGCCAATTTCGAGTCGATGTAGAGATGAAACTGATCCACATAACTTAATTTGAGCCAGTTAGTTTGAATTTTGAGCTGGACCGAAAAAAAACTCAATTTGAGCCAACTCTTGTTTCGATTTCGAGCCGGTTCAAACTCGATTCAATTTCAAGCCGGTTCAGCTCGAAATCAAATATAACAAGTCATGGACTGATTTCGAGCCACACTGAATCTATTAGAGCTGATTTTGAGCTAATCGTGGCTGGCTCGAAATCAAATCGTTAATTATTTAATTGAGTAAAACAAATATTATGATAAGAAGTTTTGAAAATTAGATATTATGTAAAAACAAATAATAAACAACGCAAATATTTAAAAAAAAAAAAAAGCCAGCATCAATAATTGATATATAGTGAAAAGAACCATCGTCCAATAATTAAAAAGGTTGTTTCCTTTACATTATGAATTTAATTGATCATTATTTAAAAAAAAAGAGTAAATGATATATAAAGCTCATGATAATGATGACTAATGCAAATCATTGCTCATACTTTCCCTTCATGATTTGATGCAATTTTGATTTATTCGTCTCAGTCGATACGTCCTCAACAAATTTCTATATTGAGAGATGTCACAAATCACGAAATAAATTTTAAATAACAAATATTCAAATTTCAACAAAAAAATCATATAGAATCTTGATTTCAACACACTTATAATCAAATTGACCGACTCGACGAGACAAACATAATGACACCAACATTGATCTAATTCGAGTCAAGTCAAGCCCATGTCAAGTTGTTAAAACTATTTTTAAAGTTTTCTGGTGCTCTATTGAAAGGTCAAATTGATTCCAAATGTGATAAGCTTATAGTAAGATCGAAAGTTTTGATGAGACAGATCAAACAAGCCTAAGATCACTCAATTCTTACATTGTTAGGGAACTCAAATGTCCGTAGAACACCCTTCGATCAAGGAGATCTTTATAAGTCGTCTGATGGAGTGATCTGATTTCTTTTCTTATTTGTCGAGAGACCTCTCTTAAAATCTATGAAAAGATTCATACTCCTTCTTGAAAGGAGAACATAAACTTCAACTCGGAGGAAAACAGAGAAGAAGGGGCTAAAGTTCAGCATTTTGCTCTGAAGATCTAACGAACGCTTCCCACTCATGCCATCGCAAACTATTGTTGACTGCCTCCTGCTCATTGTAACAAAACACTATGCAGAGTATCGACTAACATTGTGGAGTAACGATACACAATGTTGAATAACGACCAAAATTACGGAGTAACAAAGCGTTGTGCAGAGCAGCGACCAACGTTATAGAGTGACAAACCTCTATGTGGAATAGTGGCTAGCTTTGCGGTGCCTCGAAGCATTCTACAGAGCAATGTGTCATCTCAAACACCACACAACAACACCCTTCAAAGAAGATGTACCACAGTTCTGACGACTGCAACTGCTCCCAACCGTTGTGCAATGAGTCCTTCTACATACAAACATTATAACTATGTGACCCTTCTGGACTGTGAGACAAGGGTCTGCAAGTATACTCATGAAGTTATAGTTGATTATTTTCGATTGGGCTGAACCCCACTTAAAAAACTTTAGGAGTCTCTACCTGTCACTTTTATTATCAAGCGTGTGATTGATTCTCATGCAATGCAAAGACGATAATTTATTACTCTACTGCCATGAATTCTCTAGCACACATCATTTTGGTGTCGTCTATGGAACTACATCCCACCACCAAAGGACTTGTGAAACTTGTTAAATGGTACCGGATGTAACACTCACAATAATGGAGCATCCCGCTCCAACAAGGAAGTCAAGCCTATGCAACTTCCCAGCCTAGAAAATGTTATCCTATCAACAAAAGTGGTTCAATTCTCTATTTGGAGGATCGAGTGTGCAAGATGGATGAGTCTTAACATAAAATTCTTTAGCACTTGCACGAGGCTTGGCAACTGATGCCAACATAACGAGCTCAACAACCGATAAATGCCCCGCTTTAGCACACTCATACCGTGCTAGCTTCCCGTGATGAAAACCTTTCTATAGGACGCTGACCTCCTCAATACTGTAGGTCCTACTCATCAGTCCCGCACAACTAGATTGATCGGTAACCCTCCAAAGCTTACGAGAAATTTGGCCCAGTCGCATCTTGTTGACACTCCTAAAACTTTATTCTTGATGATTTATGTGCCTCGTTCAAGAAGAGTTCACTATAAAGAATAAGGATCACTTCCCCACTCATCATAACTTTCAAGAGTCTTCACCATTGACCGAGATGGTCTTCTAACACTCCATCCTAGCAAGTTTCGAGCTCTGAAACCTTGATTCCTATGAAGGGTATCTAATCCTTATGAGCATGTTGACCACTATAGAATCATTATATATATTCAACATGCCTTTGATGAGCTTTTCTATTAAGTGTTCCCTGTCACTCTCAAGGTTTAAGCTCGCATCTGGTTATGCTCTCTCCCAAGGAACCATCCACACCTTCAATGAGCTAACTAAGCTATTTCTGGAGCAATTGATAGTAAACAAGAGCATCATCAAATATTCAACTCATTTATCAGGAATTCACTAGAACGAAGGATAATCACTCAAGGAATACTTTTGTAGATTCTCTAAGGAAGCTCGTTGGATTCTAGGGGTGGATCCTGGACCCAGGACTTTTCAACTCATTGTTGATGCAGGAGACAGTCTGTTCTTACGATGATCTTGACATCGTGACAAAGCTTAAATCTCTACTGATGAGGTCATTAGTGCACACAAGGAACAATTTGAGCAATTTGAGTTCAAGCACATGAATAAGACTGGGGATGCCAATCAAACCTCACACCAAAAGAAGTTCAAACCATAAGGGAATCATGATTTCCCTCATAGGCCCATGAACCAGTGACATGAGCCTTCATTAGTAAAAGAGTACAAGACACTCAACTCATCATGTGTCAACATCCAAGTAGCCATCAAAAATGAAAAGGCCATCAAGTGGCCAAGGCCGTTAAAATATCTACATGATGGAGACTAGACTCGATATTGTCATTTCCACCAAACAAAAGGGCATTCAATAGAAATATAATTTTTAATTAAAGAAAGATATTGCATGTCTAATATGTCAAGGTCACATGGACCACTACTTAAGAGAATTTAGTGAGGAGAATATAAAGAAAATTATCGGAATCATCAGATGAGAAGTACAACTATAAATTATCTTAAATTATCTTATTTGTGTAAGAGATTCTTTACTTTCATTTTTTTTACATAAGTTTCTAATTGTATATCTAGCAAGAATTTCTTTTTTACTTTAAAGAATTGTTGTTCAATGAATTTTTTTTTATTATCAAATAAGCTTTCTTTATTCTCTCACAAAAAAATTTGTGTGTAGAAATACCCATTGAGGGCAAAGGGTAGACAAGATCTTCATCCGTGGTCTGAAAGATGAGACCAAGAGGTAAGTCTCGAAGGGAAGCTAGCAGATACATTCTTAATTACTTAAAAGGTCTCTTGAGAGTAAGTGACTGATAAGGTCTCTACCCGTGCCTATGGAAGACGATCCCAAGAGGTAAGTTTTCATGGGAAGCTAGTAGTGGATACATTCATCACTATAATGACCTCTTGAGAGAAAGTGACTGACATTGTATTCACCTATACCTCTGGAAGACGAGCCCACTAGGCAAGTCACGATGAGAAGCTAGTCGTGAATAGGGTTTTCACTAGAAATGCATCATGAGAGCAAGTGGATAATATCATATCCGCTTAAAAATATCATAAGGCTATTAATCTCAAAAAATAAATATACATTAAA